ATTTATTTTAAAATATAGTTTAATATAAATATATGTCATAATATATATAACATGTTTATAAATATTATATAAATATGTGGGATATCTAGAATTTTTTAATCATCTGGTTTAGAACTTAGATTCCTCAGTTTATTTTTTGTTTCATTGATCTATAATCTTTTAAGAGAGATGTGACTCTCCAACTACATCTGTTAATTATTTACTTCTTGCATTTGTGATGGTGTTGCTTGATATATTTTATGACCATAAATTTAGATACATGTATGTTTATAACAGTTCTATTTTCTTATTCAAGTGTGTCTTTTATCAATATTTATTATATATCTTTGTCTCATAATATTTTTTACCTTAAATTCTATTATTTTGTTCAATATTAAGATTGCTACTACAGTTTATTTTGTTTCACATTGGCCAGGTATATTTTTTTAACTTTTCATTTTTAACCTTTTAAAATCTTTTTTTTAAGTGTATCTTTTGTAGACAATTTTTAAAAACCCAAACTGAGAGTCTCTATTCTTATTTTAGAGTTTAACCCACTTAAATTTTTTGGAACTGCTTTTTATATTAGGATTTATTATTGCCTTCTTATTTCACTTTTTCCATTTATTGTAATTTTCTAAAAATTATTTTCTTACTTCCCTTTGGATAGACCTATATTTTGCTGGTTTAAAGGGTACACATTGTGTTTACTTAACTGGAAACTCATATTTATATTGATTTACTTGAGTTGCTGCCTTAAACTTATCGCTATATGCATGTTGCCTCTCGCGAGACTAGGACGTAACCATCCTCATGTCCTTCTGATCTCTTCTCCTCGCTCCTTGTTGATGTTGCCTAGAATGTTACTTTTCAATTGTCATGGATATATTTTCTCTATTTCTTCATTTTGGTTCTAGCTGCCTTTTTTTAAGACAAAAATAGACTTTACCAAGGTGCTCGTTCACACCTACTTCCTCACCTCTTGTAGCATCTCCTGGATTTGTTTTTCATCTTAATCGAGTACTTCCTCCAAGAGCATTTTCCGTGGGGCTCTTTGTATGAGTCAAAACTTCTAGGCCTTAGAAGTCCCAAAGTATTATGTGCTCTCATTTGAATGATAGTGTGGCTGGATATAAAATTTTAGGTACAAATTTCTTTAAGAGTTTAAAAATATTACTCAGTTATCTTCTTGCATCCAGTGTTCCTCTTAAGAAGTCTGATGTGAATCTAATTCTTGTTCTTTTGTAGGTAATTTGAAAGTCTTTAAAATTTTTTCTTTGTCTTTGAAGTCTTTACATTTCACATAATGGGTCCAGGGCTGTGTGTGTGTGTGTGTGTGTGTGTGTGTGTGTGTGTGTGTGTGTTTCCTATTTTGTCTGAGATCTTTCCTTTTTCTATACTTCTCAGAGATTTATATTCTTCAAATAGTTTTTCCTTTCTATCTTTTCTCTCACACAGGGCTTCTTAACAACCATATATCAGTGCATCTACTTTTTCATGTCTCTTCACTTCTCTCTGATTTTCAAATTTCCTGACCTTTTCTAGGAACTATTTGGGAGAATTCCTCAACTTTTCATCAGCTTACTCTCCAGCTACATCTGTAATTTATTTATCACATACATTGTGGTCATTATTTCAACTATAATGTCTTTTACAACCAATATTACCATTTAGCAGTTTGAATGGTTCTTGCTCTTAGTTCACATAGTCTATGTCTTCCCTTACCTCTTTAGCTATATTGATCACACTTACTTAGAATTATTGTACTGTCAGTTCCCATAGTTCTGCTCCAAATGGTTTCTATTGTTTGGTGAGTTATCATTCTTTTAAGGTAGTAGTTCTCCTGAGATGCAAAGTTGTTTTGGCTTGTGAATTCAGAATTCTCAGGAGTTATCATACACCCAGTCTGGTCATAAGTAATGGTGGGGAAAAATAAAACGAGAAAACTAAATCCTTCTATCTAGTGAGTTTTAAAAGTGGAAGGGATAAGCCCCAGAGCACAAGGGTACCCCCTTCTGTACCCACATTGTTGTCATTCTCATCCTCTGGTCAGAGTTTCAACTTTAAACTCTTTAGGAAATACCCCTTCTTTTGTAATTCACCTGCCTTGGAGTGTGAAGAAGGAAGGGGTTAGGGAGCAAATACCCATGGGCAGCTCGCCATCTATTTTCATCAATACTCCACTGCTTTTTCTGTGCCTCAAGATCCCCTAGAGCACTTGTAAGCTAGGCTGTTGCAGCCTTTTCTGTGGCGAAGGGGAGGCCACGACAGTCTTAAGGCCCATGACGGCAAGAGTCAAGAACAGAATTAAAAGCCTCCTCTCACCTGTTTCTTGCTATATCTTCAGCCACCATCTGCCCCAGGCTATGGTCACTCTCTTCATACCCCCCATTCAACACACACCAACACAGCCTCCAGCTCTCATGTCATTTTGGTTCCATTTGAGCTCATTCCAGAAATCCAATCTAACTGTCTTTTCTATAGTTCCCGTATTGTCCTCCTCATTCCTCTCACTCCAACTTCGTGTCTGAGCTCCAGATGCTCCTCTGCAGCACCCCATGCTTCAACCATCTTGGAAAAATCCTTGTGTTTTCTTCTCATGACTCTGGCCATTCCTTCCCAGGATCCCCTCTTCTGGTGACACCCCAGACCTACCTGCGCTCAGAGCCTTTGAGGGAAGGTGAGCCAGAGGTCCCCTCTGGCAAAGTGATCAGACCCGAGGAGGACACAAAGAAAACAATGGCTGCTCAGGAGACTAGCCTATAGAATAGGATTGGCTCAAAAAAACTTTGTAAGGAAGTAAGAGGGGACAGAGTCGGCTCCTTAAGGCCCCTCAGGCCAGGGGTACCTGGGGCCTGGGATCTTTACAACAAACTGGAGACCAGGCTGGCACTGGGCCCAAAGGTAGGAGAGTTTCTCCCTGCGCTGGTGAGAAGCAAGGGGCATGGCTAAGACATGCAGGTCCAGGGTCTTCCAGGACAGGCTTGCCTCCTGGGACACCCAGCCTATTCATGACTATCTTTGTGATCAGATCAGATGGTGCACATTTTTCTCCCTGGGTCTTAAGCTTAGCAAGTCCTGAATGTAGCTTTCTACTAGCCCAGGCTCCAGGGGTTCTGACCCCAGAGGCAAGCCTCCCTGGTCACTCCTTCCCTGAATCTGAGGTTATCCAGACTGCCTGGCCACCCTTCTTCCTTCCTCACACTGAGACCCCAGACCCACCTGTACCTTCTAGGAGTCATGTGGGGGTCCACATAGGAGAAGTGGCCAAGGCTAAAGAGAAAAGAAAGTAAACAATGACTCCAGAATCTGGAAGACAGAATAAGGTCTGATCCCAAAGCTGTGAAAGGAAGTAGGGGACCCAGATACAGTCCCTCAAGGCCCTTTAAGCCAGAGGTGACCTGTGCCTAAGGTCTGCATATCAGAGCTGTTGGTGTGTGTATATAAGAAAAAGAGTCAGTAAGAGACTCCAAGTTCCTGTCTAGTGGGCCCTGGGCATCTTTTCCCACTAGGTGGGACCAGGACTGGCAGAGTCAGAAGTGAAAGCCCTTCTCTGGAGATGGGCCCCTCACTCCATCCGGACTAGAGCAGAAGACCTGGGGGGATCTGGAGCATGGAGGGACACAAAGTGGGTGAGCGATGTTTCTTCCGAGCCCTGGGAGAGAGGGATTGCATTTCCTCGGGAAAGGAGCTCACCTAGAGACACCACTAGGCCGATGTTTCTGAGAATAGTGACCAAGTTGCTGGAAGAGTTGCAGCTTCCACACCAGTAAGGCCCTGAGTCCTCCTCCCTCAGCTGAGTAATGGTGATGATGAAGAAGCCAACATCTGGTGCATCCCAGATCGTGAGTCAAGAGTCCTAAGGAGCCATTGGGGCCTGGAGCTGGTGACTAATCTGGTACAGTCATTTGGAGATGTCTGCAGACACCAGGTTTTCTTCTTGCAGGGCACTCTCTTGGGACAGTACTGGCATTGCACGGAGAGTGTCTGCCAGGCCACTTCATGAAGTTTCTCAGGTGCAACTATCTTTCCCCAGGAACCTGGATAACATGCCTTCTGGTCAGGTGGACCCAGCCATCCCTGTCAGGGCTGAGAGGTAAGGGGAGCAACTTCTGATGCCCACACCTAGAGCATGTTCCCCAAAGCTAGCCCTCTGGTCACAGAGCCACCCTGCTCCCTGTTCCACCTCTCTCCTTCACCCTCTGCATCTCACCTAATTCCAGGAGTACCAGCAGGATAGGTAGCAGGAGCAGGCATAGGGCTCCCCAGATCATGCCAGCCCCAACCTGTTTCTGACGATGGAGGAAAGAAGGAAAGGAGAGGTTTCTGGGGAGAGGGAACCAGAAGCTGGGTCTGATTCAGCCCCAGTTTCCTAACATCTCTGAACTGGAAGAATTAAGAAAGGTCAGCACCTTGATTGGGGATGTGGGCAGCCTGAAACATGGACCCTGTGGGCAGAGTGGAGGGAGTGGTAGTCAGGCCTAAGTTTAGGCCTGCAGACCTCAGCCCCGCCTCAACTGCTCCCCTTTGCCCAACTTCTCCCATCTCCATTGCTCCAAACCTTCCACCCATCACACTCCTTCATCGTTGCTGGGGTAACCTCTGAGAATGCCCAAGAAGAAACCACGGTGCAGTAATAGGCTGTTCCTCTTTGCTTTTTTTCTGTACACTGCCTATGAGAGGTTGGGGGTCCTTTGGTGGCCTGACCAGAGTTCTGAGCCCCTCTGGTCCCCAGGGCAAGACAGGGACCCCACTCCCAGGCTTGGTGGGTCAATGATGTGTTTTCACCTTAAGAGGTTTGTGGGGGCTACAGAGTTTCAATTCCAGGAACTATAAGGAAAGATGGGGGCCAGGATAAGTGGAAAGAAAGAGAATACTGAGTGGGGATTATCAGAGGGGAGGCCAAAAGAGAGTGGATTAGTTGAGGCGGGGAGGGGGTGAGCAGCATCATGTCCATATCTTCAGTTCCTACTCTTCCTACTCCCTAATAGTGCTCAATCAGTGTTGGTTAAAGGAACTCATAAGTGAATGAAAAAATGAAAAACCTTTTGGTTTTAATGATGCGTGTGTAAAAATGTGTGGAGGACAAAAATGGCCAAAGATGGAACAACTCAAGCAACAAAATAAAGTAGTGTTGAATTATAACCCAAAGTATAAAATAAATACCCCTGAGTTCATGTTCATATAAATAAATGATTGAGTAAATGAGCAAGTGGGGAGAATAGACAAATCTCTCATGCAGAAGAATTCCAGATAATTTATGAAGACACTCTGCCCTCAAGTGGGAGAAGCATAACTCCCACTTCTTAAGGGTTGTCCATGGCGACTTCCTTCCAAAAAATGCAATATGGAAAGGAGGAGGAGAGTAACTTTACAGTGGACAAACTTGGCAAACACCAGCTCAGCCTGGAGATTGAGGTTAAGATCAACAGTGATTATCATGAGGGTAGTATGTATCCTTGCTTTCATGGGATGAGTATGTCATTTTGCCTTTATGGTCTTCTTCCCTAAAACTCCTAAACTCATGAGAAAAAATGTCAAGCAACTCTCAATGAAGGACAATACAAAATACCTGAGCAGTGTTCCTCAAAACTGTCAAAGTCTTTAAAAAAAAAGAAAGAAAGAAAGAAATTCTGAGAAACCGTTATAGCTAAGAGGACCCTAAGAAGACATGATGACCAAATGTAATCAAGTATCCTGGATAGGATCCTGAAACAAAAAAAAAGGATATTAGATAAAAGCTAAGGAAATCTGAATGAGGTATAGACTTTATTCAAAATAATATATCTTTATTGATTGATTAATTGTAACAAATATACAGTAATAACGTAAGATATTACTAATAGAATAAACTGGGTATTTGGGAACTCTGTAATATCCTCACACCTTTTCTGAAATCTAAAACTATTCTAAAATTTATAAATGTAGACTTCATTTAAAAATATAGAGAGACTATTGTATAAAACCTATTTATTAATACTCGCTAACAAAGAAAATATACACTTTTTAAACTTTGATTAGGCATAAAGAATACACATTGTAGCAATTTAATTGATCAGTTTATCTAAGGTCTACTTGCTGCACTGCACACTGACTGTGTGTGTATCCCACTGGGTGTTGAATTCACATCACTGGTTTTCCCAGTAGCTTGTAACCTAGCTCTCCTTAGGCACATTCAGTCTTCAGAGAGTGCTGTTCAGATAGTGATTTTTCACCTCCTTAAAATGAGTGGACACTTTGGTCTGCTGAAGACCTCACATGTCCCTAGACCTCCCTGCCCTGGTCCTGCTGTGGAACTGGACCCTGGGGGACCCAGAGAGAAGGGTGAACGCAGGAAAGAGAAAGTGGGAAGGTGGAGTTTCTGAAGCAAATAACCAGAAGGCCTGGAGTCCAAGCTTTCACTGGGCACTAGAAGGGAGCTCAGGTAAGAGGGAATGAAAGGGAGAGGGGTCTACAGCTACTTCCTGTTTGTGGCCAACTGTCCTCACCATGAGGTTCACCTGAGTGCTCAGCTACCCTGCCTTAACTGGACCTCTTGGCTTGATTAAATGCTCTAGCCTGCATTAAGGCCCCATAATCTGTGCCCACCACTGTCTCTGGCCCCCAGTGTGTCTAGTCCCCTCACAGTCCACTCCTGACTGCCATGTTGGTCCTGCCTCAGACTGTGCTGGAGCTTGTCCCGTTCCCCAGCTGCTGCAGTGCCTCCAGGGGCTGCTCCCCAACTAGTCTCACTGTGAGGGACCACAAGGGGGCCCTCTTGCAAGAAGCTGGTACAGAGGACTCAAGCCTGTAACTACCACCCCAGCTCCTGTTATGAGCACATAGCATCTGGCCCTGATCCTGGACTGTTTTTATCATTACCTGTTGTGGACACTTTTTGTTCCAGACCATGAGTGCCCTGAGGGCCAAGCCAATTTCTCTCATTTCTGTGTGAGCCGTGACTTGTTCGACCTTACGTCAGTTATTGTCTGTGCATGGTCCTTGATCTGATGGCGTGGAGCACATCTCCAGCCTCTTGTGTTTTTCCTTGTGGACACTGAGCTTCACAGTAGGCCAGCGGCTTGCCCAGGGTCTCACAGAGATTTCAGAACTGAGCTGGGCATTTGAACCTTGTTCTCAACATATACTCAATGCTTTGCACCCTGTTGAGAAGCCCCCATCTACCCCAGCTTCCTCAGTGTGTCCTCATCGTCCATGCAGTGGGCCACACTTAGACTTGTAGGCCCAAGGACAAGGCGGTAGCAACGGAGGAGACTCCAGATAAAGGGCAAAAGGACTAGGGCACCAAAATAATACGAGCCCTTTCTTTGAGAAGGGAAAATAAAAAGTCATAAGTATGATTCTCTCTTTAAGAGGAATATCTGCTTTAATTAAACGGAAATTATAAATCAAACGACCCAGGCGTAAAAGTACCATGTACTATAGAAAGTTATCATCTGTATTAATAAGAAGCTCAATTTATAACAAGGAACTGAAGACCTTGTTAACTGACCAGTTACGTTGAAACGAAAATCTAGAAAACACCACCGTTAGAATTTCCTGAGTTATGGAAATGCCCCATATTTTCCTGCCCAACGTAGTAAGTAGCCACTAGCCACGTGCAGTTGTGGAGCACCTGACATGTGGCAAGTGTGACAGAGGAACTGAATTTTCATTTTCTATTTAATTTTAACGTAAATGTATATAGCCACATGTGGTTAGTGGCTAGAGTATTAGATAACACAGCTCTAGGTGACCAAGGTGAACTTTAACAATAGCCTGCCCCTCTCCCAGGGGGCAGATTTCTTTGTTGTGTCTTATTTGTGAATGTCAAAACTGTAAAGCTAATAAAAGATAATATGTGAGAATGTCTTTGTACATTGCCTAAAATACAATATTCAAAAGATGATTGTGCTTTAGATTGGGAAGGACATCTTAAATGAGATCCCAAAACATGAGTCATGAGGGGAGAATAGTTGGGCTTACATTGTCAAACACTGGCTTCACCAACACAACCTGTGCATGAGAGAAAGCGAAGTTTATGGTTTATAGTGGTCAGGGAGAGCACCAATTGTGCAGAGCTGTGGGAGAGTCTTGGAGGAAGGCAATGTCAAAATTTATTAAGAGGTTTACTTTAAGGCAGGTGTTTCAAGGAGCAGCCGGATTGTGACTGGGGAAAGAGCGCGACATACTAATCCAGGATTGGTTGAAACAGCAAAATGAGGATTTTGAAGCAAGGATTCAAGAATCTGAGTGTGCAAACTATCTCTTGATGCTTTCTATTGAAGAGTTGATGGGTCTTTCAGGGAGTTTTTATAATGAACAATTAAACTACATGCCTGGACAAGTAACTCACAGAAAAGTAAATACGTAATGGAAAAGCCATGTTAATATAGACAGTAAGATGTGATTTCAGTTCTCATGGTCAAGACAGAATGTGGTTACAGATGGTTTCAGTTCAAAAATAAGAATTTATATTCAAACAGAGGATATCGTGGACAAAAGCAATGTTGGGGAACACCTCCACAATGACACTCTGGCCATCTTGCATGCATCCACAGAAGCCACACAGGCGAAGGCTTCTGCGTCATGAGTCATGACAGAGAATGAGAGGCTGGGAGGCCTCTTGCAAACATCTCTCACTCACCTCCCAACCTCCCCAGGGAGGGAGATAGTTTCTCATCACCGCCCATTTTCTGATGAGGGAAGAGGCTTTCTGCCTGATCCTTTCAGCACAGAGGAGCAGACTGTGAGACCGCTGAGCACAGTTGTGAATGAGATCCCTGGCAGTGGGGTGTCACACAACTCACCTTGCAGTTATCTGGCCCCTTTTATCCTGGTGTGTGGAACTAGAACCACAGGAAGCTGACACCTTTGGCTAATCTTCCTTTCACTGTCTATGTAAGTAGTAAACTGTCTAAATCTAAAAGCAGCTCATTGTATCTTTCCTGACCAAATCAGTCAGGTCTTGGTCTTGGCCTTGCTTTGTCCTGTGTAGGCTCAACAATTAACAGATGAAAAACCTATAGAAGATATTTGCTATGTCTAAAACTGACCTTGAATTAATATCTAAATGAACCAAGGAGTTATTTAAAAATCAGCAAGCAAAAGAAAGGAAATCCAACAGAAAAAAAAAATGATCAGAAGTGGATGATACAGTGCAGTAAAAATGCCTAATAAGCCTATACATAGATGTTTGACCTCATCAGTTATCCAAGAAACACTAATTTTAAAATATTGAAGTGTCATTTTGTACTCATCAGATTGGCAGAAACTAGAAAATTGGGTTAGATTCAGTACTGGTAAGAATATGAGAAGGAATGGACCTTCAAGCTCCAATGAGAGGAATAACCCAGAATTCTGGAAAGCAATCTGGAACATCTATGTGGAGTAAATCCTACACTCAGTGTCCCACCTCTGGTTATACACTCTATTGCAGTTACCATTTTTTGTGTCCTGTTTAAGAAATATTTGCCTAGTCCAAGGTCATATTTTCTACGTTTTCTTCTAGAAGCTATAGTGCTTACACCTTTCATATTTAGGTTAATGATCTATTTGGAATTAATCTTGTGTATTGTGTGAGAGAAGAGTAAAGACTTTTTTTCCTATGTCACTATCCCATAGATGATGATCACCAACCTTTCTCACTCAGTCACAGAGGCACTTTTGCGGTAATCAGGCAAATGTATGTGCATGGGTATGTTTCTGAACCCTTGGTCTATTGGGCTTTATGCCAACGGCATGTGCACTCTAGAAAACATCTTCTATGGGTCCTCCAGGCACAAGAATGAGGATGTTTATTTTAAAATTCTGTTTTTTGTTTTTGTAGGGTTTTGCCTTTTTTTTTTTTTTTTTTTGTGGTAAGCTGTTGTAGCAACTTTGGTGTCCATCCCTAGGGGAATGGAATAGCAAAATCTAACACTTACATTATATGGAATCCTACGTAGCAGTAAAAAACAAAACAAATCAAAGATTTAAATTTATACATAGTATCAAGGACAGTCTCAGGAGCACAATATAGAGTAAAAATGTATAAACTGAGTTACAGTTTTCAAAAAAGGTAAAATTATGACTCTCATGCAAATAAAAATAAATGTGTTAAATGTTTTATTTAACCCATATTCAATGAGTGAACCAGGCAGATGCTAGAAAAAGAAGTCAAGCATAAATTTATATGGAGTAAAGGAACGCTGAAATGAATTGCATGGAGAAACAAACCAGTGTGGGGTTTTTTGTCTCTCCCCCAGCAGAGGAAGGAAGACAAGACAGAATTTGCTTGTTTATCAATTACTTATAATTTACAGAATTATAAAATAGCTCTCATTGAATCAGAATCAGAGAACACAAGGAAGAGTGTGCTAGAGACAATGCAGTTTTCCATGGAAATGCACATTTTTCCCCCCTTTTTAATCCCTCCCACCACACTTCCACCCTGACCCACGGATGTTGCTGTTTCTCCTTAA